TATATAAATATTAGACTATGAATCCAATTGTTTCGTATATTAAATTAAAATCATTGTAGGAACCTATAAACTTTAAATCCTGTATCCGCATCCGCTGATCATTCATGGGCCATAAAGTTCTTGTATGGAACCGATCACATGATAAAAAAGAGTGATATTTATACTCTTTTCTTGTATGAGACCAATCACATGATAAAAGAGCAACTTATATTTATGATCATTTTTTAAAATTTTCTTATTTATGACCATTGAACTTACTATATATATTTAGTAACATTGTTTTTTGTTCATGATATTTTAAGGAATGCAAGCAAAATCAACGATCGAAAAGAGTTTGACTGACGACTAACCTGTCGTAATCGCTTTTGCCATTATCAGACCAACCTTCAGGGTGAACAACGTCACTCATATCAGTGTAAGAGTAAACAACCTTAGCAAAAGGTTTCCATGCCCTTCCTAGAAGTGCAGTTTTTCCTGTTCCAGTAATCATACAATGAACAAATGAATATCCACTGTCAACATTGCCTGCACCCCTTGCATGTGCTGTGATCATTGCCATTGGATCCCCTGGAATTACATGCATCTCTGTGTTCTATTTTCCAAAAAAAAAAAAAGAAGAAAAAAAAAAATCATTAGCATCCTGAGTGAGCAGAGGCAGAGCAAGATTTGAAGTTCATTGGATTCTGAACTTATCATCGAACTCATATCTCGTTTTAGTTACTGCATTCACAATTAAATATTTATATTTTAAATAGTCCAGGGGCGGATTTAGGTTGTTTTTATGTTGTACGTGAACCCATGGTCTTTTCGCCAAATTAGGTATTTTATGTATAAACAACAATAACAACGACGACTCAGTAAAATCTCACAAGTGAGGTCTGAGGAGGGTAGTGTGTACGCAGACCTTACCTCTACCCTAAGGGGATATAGAGGTTGTTTCCGATAGACTAGGCTCAAGAAGACAAAGGTATTTTTTATGTATATATATTGAAAAATTAATCTAATATGATATGCTGGCCCATAAGCTGAATGGTGCACTAGGTTGAATGTCTAATTATTATCCAAAGGAACATGAATCGATTCTTACTTAGTGCTTCTTTTTTCTTGCTTTTCAGTAGTCCACTTATATTCTAGAAATCCTAGATCCGCTTCTGATAGAGTCTAAGCAAATACTAACGACTTTATCCGAACCCCGTAGCTAATATTGTGACTTCACCCTAAGAGTGAGACGAGAAGAATATGAATAAAATTTTTGAAAGAAATGAAATGATTTACCAGATATAAGGATTTTCCATTGCCAAAGATGAAATCAACAGTGCCTTCAATGTAGCAATCTTTAAAGAAATGCTTGCCACTGTCATCACAAAAGGTGTCTTGAAATCCATACATTTTACAGTTATATAATGAAGCTTTATCTCCTCCTGTCCTTAATGCTGCTGCTTGAGCTAATTCTCTTTTCCCATCTGGTCTTGGTGCAGAATTCTAATCACCATTGTCAAAACAACAAAATATATTACACATTAATATTATATGAAAAGAAAGAAAGAAAAAAAAGAAAGAAAGAAACAACAATAACGATAACAAACTCAGTGAAATTTTACAAGTGGGTCTGAGGAGAGTACTATGTATGCAAACCTCACCCCCAGCTCGTGAAGGTCTGAGGAGGGTCTGGGGAGGGTAGTGTGTATGCAAACCTCACTCCCAGCTCGTGAAGATAGAGAAGTTGTTTCTGATAGACCATCGGCTCAAAAGAAAGAAAGAACAATAACAATAACAAACCTAGTAACATCCCACAAGTGGGGTCTGATGAGGGTAGTGTGTACGTAAACCTCAACCCTAGTTCGTGAAGGTAGAGATACTGTTTCTGATAGATCATCGAAAGAAAGAAAAAAAGAAAGAAAAAAAGAAAGAACGAACAATAACAATAACAAACCCAATGAAATCCGACAAGTGGGGACTAATGAGGGTAGTGTGGATGCAAACCTCACCCCAGCTCGTAAAAGTAGAGATGCTATTTCTGATAGACCATTAGCTAAAAAAAAAAAAAAAAAAAAAAAAAGAAAGAGAGAAAGAAAGAACCACACACGTAACTTTGCGGTAATTATAGTCAATGGCGAATATAGGACAAGTTTGATGGGTTCAACCGAACTATTATTTTTTGTTCGAATTATACATACATACAAAAATAAAGTTAAAATGTATAAGATCATACACATTCTGAATTATAATACGTACCACAAAGTTGATATTAACAGCGCTGAAGTATTCAGATTCGACGACAACGGTTGCACTATCAACTGTACCATAATCTTTTGCTGTTCCATTAAAGATTATATTTGGTACATTCTTAGGGTCTCCATATAATGTAATGAAAGGTTTATACCTATCAATCTTAACTTTCTCTGTGTAATTTCCACCTCCAATTGAAATAATAACTCGTCTTTTATTCCCTTGAGGAATGCTGTTTATGGCATCCGTCAAAGTCTTGAATTCACCACTTCCATCTGCCCTTACCTTCAGTTACATATCCAGAATTTAGAGTCAGTGAATTCTGAAATTCAGCTAAACTCGAAAATAATGTATATATAATATCAAACCAAAAAAAACATTACAAACGTAGATTTTCATCAGATATAAAGATGCACGAATAAAGTACTACCTCTGTATGTAGTGGTGTTCGGATTTCGAGAGTTAACTGAACTTTTCTTTGCCTATGATTTTTCATACAACTTTTAAATATTTAAAAATATTTAAAATGCATTGTGACTTATAGTACTTTTACGTTGTTTTCCAAATATGTAAATTTTATTTTAGAAAACTTAAAGATTTTTTGTCAGAGTTCATAGTCAAAATTAAGAAGTTTGACTCTCAGATGTCACATAAATTGGGACCGAGGCAGTATCAAATATGTTCATGAATTTAAGAGGAAAATTAAAGAAATAATCATATGTAAAGAGTCACCTTAATGATAGTTTTATTAGCCTCAGCAGCTACAAGGGCAGGGTCCAAAGTGTCTTTTCTTGCATCTAAAGGCTTAACATTGGTTTCAAACCAACTTTTTATTTGTGATTTATCAGCTGGTATTGGAACAGAATCATCTGAAAAAACTCTAGGAATGAAAAGAAGAATGGTTATAACAATAGCTTCCACAGCAAATATGGTGTTTTTTCCGGCCATTTTTTTGTTTTTGTTTTTGTTTTTGTTTTTTGTTTTTTGTTTTTAATTTCTTGAATGGAAATGGATTTTTGGTTTTGGTTTTCTATACAAACTTAGTAAGTGTAGGTATTTATAGAAAGAATAGAAAGAGCAGAGTTTAACAAGACAAACTAGAGGTAGAGATTTTTTGCATGGTTTGTTATGTTAGTAGGTAAGCATTGTAGGGCAGTACGAGTACTCCGTTTAACAAATGGTTTTTATTGAGGTTGTTAATTAATAATAATTTGGTAACTCATATAATTTTGAGTAAGCTAGTGTTTCTACGGTTAGTGAATTTCTCTATAGCTAATAGCCAGGAATTAGAAAGAAAATGGGAGAAATTAAAAAATAGCCTGATTTACAATTCAGAAATAGCCACAGTTTTAAAAGTAATCGAAATTTAGCCACTTTTTATGTAAAGATAAATCTGAATGAAAACACTGTTCAAAATTCAGAAAAATACTCCAGTATATACCGGTCCAGCATAAAATATACCGGTCCAGCATAAAATATACCGGTCCAATCTCCAGTATATTATACTGGAACTTTCCGCGTGTTGGAGTTCCAGCATAATATACTGGAAGTTCATACACATGTGCACCCATCTCCAGTATATTATGCTGGAATTTTCTGTGTTGCAGCAAAATAGTGGCTGTTTTTGAATGACCTTGCAAACGCTGACTATTTTTGAATGACTAGTCCGAAAACTGGCTACCCCGTGCTATTTTTACAAAAAAATTGTACGTAAAATTTGGATTATATTCTAAATCCAAAAAACACATCGACTTGAATCAAGATTCTTTAAGTCCAATTAAATGGATGTACGTGAAATATATACTTGTTACGTCATTTCAAAGCCTTAACACATGCAATTTGAAAATTGATTTGTCGTATGCATCATTATCAATGTGAATTAATTTCTCTATTTCATGTCTAATAAGGTTTTAGTGTCAAAATCGGATGAAAATAGGTCTAGTGATTTCTGATCCAGGTGAGCTGATTATCTCTTTTAAGTCATGTTTAATTAAGTCTTAGCTTTTAAAATCCAATGAAAATAGGTATTTGAATCAAAGTGAAGTAATTTCTTTAATTCATGTCCAGTTAAATCTTACTATCAAAATCCTATGAAAATAAGGTCAATGCTTTGTTATGATCAATGTGAGTTGTAGTGTTATCTATATATATATATATATATATATATTAAAGCAAGAAAGTTATCATATATAATTGACATTATGGTTAAGCCAAGTGACAAGCTAATAAATGTCAATAGTATATGGTAACTTTATTCTATATTTGACTATTTTAGTTAAATACAAATATAATATATATATATATATATATATATATATATATATATATGAAATTTGAATCAAAAGATAATTTTGAATTTATAGATAAAGTTCTAAAATTCAAATTTAAATTAAAAATAAAATTTATCTTTTTTTAATCATGTTATCATACTTAATTCGGTTAATGATCATATGCATTATGTTAGAAACTTTTGTTATTTTTTATAATTATTTAAATACTACTTCGCCTCTAGCAAAAAAAAAAATACTCCATATAATTATAAAACTCTTTTACATTTAAAATCCTATAAGTATAATTCTTTGAAACACTGTACCTAGATTTGAATAAAATGAAATTCTTTTGAAATAAATGTAATATATATGGTACACGTCTATGTTTATCTAAATAACAAAAAAGAGTTTACAAAACCAAATAAAAGTTTACTTACATATATAATATAGTAAACATACATGCTGGAGAAAGAAACATCACAAAATCAGTCAATATTAAAAAAAAATTGTTTCTTTTTTCTTCTTGAAGAATATTTGTTTGAAGAGTCAATTTGCATAAATGGACATCAAATAAATAACAAAACTTTAGCTATATAATTGCTATCATTAATTTCAATTTAGCACATTCAAGGAATTGAAGGGTATAAGCTGAAACCCCTTTATTTAGCTGTAGTCAAGCCAAGGGTATAATATTTTTTTCGTTGAAGAATATTAGTTTTGAATCATTAGATTATGTGAAAGGTTTTTTTTTTTCAAACTCAACAAGAGATAAATTGATTTCTAGTTGATAGTTTCTATAGCGACTTTTAAGTGTAACAAAGAGTATATATATAGAAAAAAATGGTATGGCGTGAAATATTTTTTTTAAAATGTAAACAAATTGTTTCGAAAAAACTCTTTACTTTTTTTAATTCAAAGATAATAAAAAGATAAGATATTTTTGAACATTAGTAGAGAGTTTTAAAATTATTATAATAGAAGTTATATTATGGATAAACTCAAAAAATCGAAATCTTATGGAATATTTACATAATATCCGGCCATATTTATTGTTTACTTTTTATAGCTAATATAGATAGATAATATACCGACAACACACGATTATACACATATTATATATGAATTATATATAAATTTCACATCATTCAATTTTTTAATTTAAGTGGTCGAGTGAGTACCTATTTAGGCTGATTAGATAAAGCCAAAAGAAAAATATGAAATAATTTCAACCAAAGGCTAAAAATATAATTAAAGTTCATATGTAGACAATTTTTATTAAAACTCATCCTTTTATAGTGAAATAAATTAATTTTTTTGTAACAAAAGAAATAATGACATAAAAAATAAGATAAAAGATAATAAATATTGAAAAAAATGTTAGAAAAATCTAAAAACGAGAAATAAAAGATGACAACAAATTTCTTCTTATGTTTCGTCTTTGTTGAGTATTAAAAATTTGAAAGTTAATCTCATCGATTTCAAATATTATTTTCTTCTCAGATACATAAATTATAATATATGGATATCTTCGAATATTTTTTTTTAATTTACATTATGTGTCATTTTTAAAAAATCACTATTACTAACAAACTGATATGATATTTGAATTTGAATCGGAATGCAATTTGAGCAGTTTGCATTGAGGTTAAACCAAGTATGGTGTCAAAAATAAACTACTTGACAATTTTAAGACAATATATGCAATGTTTTATAATAATAATAATCAACTAATTTAACATTTAATGATTCAAAGAATAATTTTTTTATATATAGAGTATTAAAAATTTAAATTACGGGGCTAGAGATATTGATAAACTTAAAGTGGAGTCATACTGAAATAAATCCGGCCAAAAAATTATTTAAATTTTTAGATAGCCGATCAAAGTGAATTGTAAATTAAGGATAATATCTTCACTTGCATCATTATAAAGATAATCATTATTATAGTATATATAAAGTTTTAGAAATTGAAATTTCAAAATAGAAATATTTTTTGAAAGATAAAATCATACCAAATAAGAGTTCAAGTCGTAGTATAAGAGTCACGTCGTAACCAAAGAATCGTTTATATCGTGTCAACCTTTGTGCTTTGCCATAAATATGAGTTATTATTTCACTTTGTAGTTATTTTTAGGTTCCAATGACACCTATGAGAATAGTGCAAAAATAAAATTATCACTATGAGAATTGAGAAAATATTAGTCTTTTTTCATGTAGTATTTTTTAATTAATATCTGACGATTATCTATATTTATTTAGAAGGTTTAAATGTTAAGGTTATTTACATATAATTCAAATAACTCAGATATTTAACATGGTTAATATCAAATATCAAAATGGAGTAAAAACAATTCACTAGCTAAAGAGTTTTTTATATTTTTAGATAGCCAACTAAAATGAGTTTTGAATTAAGAATAATATTTTTAATTACATTATTATAAAAATAATTATTATTAAAAATAATATTTTAGAAACTGAAATTTTAAGAAAGAAATATTTTTTAAGGGATATCCACACACCAAATAAGAGTTCAAGTAGTAGTAAAAGAGTTAAGTCTTATCCAAAGAGTCTTTCATTGTCTCAACATTTGATTGTTTTGCCATAAATATGAGTTATTATTTTGCTTCCTGACTATTTTTAGGATCCAATGATACCGGCAAGAATGATATCAAAAAAGAAAAATAGAAGAAATGGTTAATTTTTTTCATGTAGTTAATATTCAATGATTATCTATATTTATTGAGAAAGTGTAAATGTTAAAAATATTTACATACAATCCAAATAACTTAAATATTTGACATGACTAGTGTCCGCGCATCCGCGCGAGTACTAATACTAGTAAACATGAATGCTACTACTCTATCCTTCATAAAACTATAAGATTATGAGATATGAGAGAATGACAGCAAACCTCGTACATTCTTTCTTTCTTTTTTTTTTTTTTGTTTTTTGTTTTTTTTTTGTTTTGTAATTTGCGCCTTAAGGAGACGCTGCCTTTTATTTCATAACAAAACAGAGGCTACAACAAAACAGATGTTACCACTAACCCCTGCGATTTTTCAAAGCTAGCATATACAGGGAGAAAAAAATTTATAGTTCAAAAACTCTCAAAAGATTATTAGACAAGCATATTCCTTCTTTGTTTGTGCCTTATGGAGGTTGTATCTTGTATCTCTAGAAAATATGCACCAACAGCCTGCTTAGGAAGATCCTTAACATCATAAAATTGCCTATCATGTTCTTCCATGCTCCATTTTGCCAACGCTTCAGCAACCTCATGATTCGCCTCCCTGTAACAATGTTGAACTATAACCTTGTACCTCATTCTCTGTATAGTATGCTATATTTGTTACATATAACCATTGACTAATCTCACTTAAAAATAATTTTTCTTCCGTAGTATTATTTTCTTCTACTCAAATTATAACGAGTTATATAATATCATTTTATCTTGACATTTGTATGTCTATAAACATTTAATGTTGGAGTTATTACGATTAATTTTTTATATTATTTATAAAAGGCTTTCTCGTTTAATATAAAAGATAATAACTCTCAATGTTTGTTGAGCACTCAAAAAAGGGAAAAGAAAAGAAGAGGCCATGCAACCCAGTCAAGGTTGGATTTAGTACCTTAGGCGTGGGTTCACTAAAATTATCGAAAATATTGAATTATGAACCATAACTCACAGATTTTTTTTTTTTTTTTTTTGGTTATATTAGCTTCGGCTCCTTTTCTTTTTGAGATATATTATCCTTAGCTATAAC